AAAATATTTAAAATGTAAATATAAACAAGAAAATATGTCCATTTAATTTTTTAGGTAATTTGAATGATTTTTAAGAAATATTTATATTTAAAAATGGATATTTTGATCCAACTTATGTGACTTAATAATTAACTAAAACAAAGGAGATATTTGTGTTTTGTAACTCTTCGTACTAGGAAAAATTTGTATAGACTTCAAAAATATAAAGGAGATATATGTAATTAAGGTAACAAAGATAGAAAGTTTGGGTATTTTACTCTTAAACTTACAATTGATTTAAAAATATTATTTTTATTCCATTTAACTCAATCACTATTTATGTTTCCTTTTTATTGCTACCATGAAAATGATGGCTAATAAAGTGTACTGGACCAAAACTGAGAATGAGTCTGAATATAAGATCGCAACTAGAACGAGTAAGGGTCCGTTTGATTTTCTTCCGTTTCACGTTCAGAAAGTAAAATTTCACTTTCAGAAAGTTAAAAGTTGTTTGGATAGAATATTTTAGAAAAGTACATCCTGAAAGTACATTTAAATAGTAGCTGAAAGTGAATTTCTGAAATGTAACTATTTAAAACTTTTGAAAAGTGGATTTGAAAAGTAAGATGTTATTTGACCATACTACCCTAAGTTTAATCTCTTATTTTTTTATTTAAAAAATAGTTAATTCATTAAAAATATAATTATTATTTTAATAATAATAATTAGGTATCAATTTTTTTAGTATTATAAATTGAGTAATTAATCATATTAATTTTTAGCATTAATGTATAATAAAAATTACAAATCTTTATTACATCTTTTAAAATTACAAATTAAAAAATACAAATAATTAGAGATCAAATTTTTAGCACTATAGATCAAAATTTATGTTATTTATAATCTTTATTACATTTTTTAAATATTTTGAATATATTACATTTGTATAATAAAAATTATAAATCATTATAAATCAATGTCCTTTTTGATAATTGTACATTCAAAAGCACTTTCACTATCACAAACCAAATAACTTTCAATGTATCAAACTGATTTTTGAAAAAATATATCCAAACACAAATTTCATTACAACAACTGATTTTCATTAAACTGACTTTCACCAAATGAACTTTCACCAAATGAACTTTTGGCAAACTGAAAACCAAACGCACACTAAATTGTTCAGGGACCAATTTAAAAATCACGTGCACCAAAACAAAAACCTCACCATTTGACAAAGACATGCACAACAAAACCTAAACATATAAGGACTCTTTTGTTAAAAATAAGGAAGCTTACTTAGATAAGGGACATAAGAAACAACAGGACTTAATTAAAATCTCAGAATGTACGGGATAAAATGTAACGTATAATTTAATCATTTATACACCTTTCTTTTTTTTTATGTTTTTTTATGTTTTAAAGCCTTGATCTTTCTTGGATATTCGCCAATCACATTTTTTAAAAAAAAATCAAATATATTAACATAAGGAAAAAAGTCATAAAGTTGACGTCAAATATAAAAATTTAAAAAATATAAATGACAGCTTAACTAAACAGATCTACATTTCAAAAACTGATAATTTAAAAATATATTTAAGAGATGTTTAATTAATATCTTGGACTATTAGGTATTGCTTTTCGAGAGTGAAGAAATGGCCCTTGTTGAGCTTCATAACCAGTTTTTCCGAGTGTACTCTAGAACCATACTAGTTCTTCCAGAAATTACATATCCAAAAACGCAAGCCTCTCTGTCTTGCTGTTTAAATAGTTGATAAAGGTACATGTTATCCAACGAGGCACAGCATTTTATTAATACTTCTTTTTAATATCGCCATGGGATTCCTTGTTCTATGTGAGTATCAATTCAAACATTCAATGGTTTCATTCTTATATGGAAAAAAAATTAAAATATAATCATACAACAGTACGTTAAGTAGTTTTGAAATGATTTTTAATTTTTATTCTCAAACAAATTTTAAAGGGTTAATGAGCATACTAATTCATAAACTATTATATGAAAAAACATCTTAGATCCTAAACTTATGAAATGTGTAAAAGCTCTCATCAATTTCTAAATTGCAAGCTATTGAAACCTTATCGTTAAGTTTGGGAACATAGTTATTACTTTTGTAGTTGTGGGATTCAATCGTAAGTTGATGTAGGCATTCATCTTGATTTTTATAAATAACAGCCATTTTTTTAACTTAATGGTGGGGTTTCAAGCATTTATAATTCAGAATTTGAGAGGAGTGTTTGCACATTTTATAAATTTAAAGTCTAGGATGATATTCATGTATTAATTTAAGGTTTAGGATGTTTATTAAAAAATGAAGTTATTATCAACACCAAAAATAGTCAAGTTCAAAATGTAGAATTAATCATGTTACCAATATGATTAATTGATGCAATTAATGTTTAACACGTTTTTTTAAAAGAATACTCTAAAATTAACGACCCACCTTGGTCTCATGTGATGTCGATATGCAATTGCATGCCAACCCATCAAGGTTCTTTATGACATTTGGGACCAATAAATAGCAAAGCCGAATATGTGGTTTGCATTTCATTAATCACAGTGACAAAAAGTTGCATGCGTTGGGTTTTTTGGGAGGGGGGGTGTCCTTAATTAAATGAATATACACAACGAATTATAGAGATATGTCATTGATTAAATACGCCTTTTGACTTTTGTATTGTTTTCTTTCTATGTCTTGTTTAATGCTCCTCTTGATGACAATATAAGTTATAGTTAGTTTATTCATCATTTATAAATAATATTAGTTGAAATTTTAAATTTTTTAAAATATTTACATCTTTTTATTAATACTCTCATTAAATATATTATATAAGAGCATCAATAATAATAATTCAAATTCTAATGGATGATTTTTTTGAAAAGAGTAATTAATAAATGAAGCAGGGGTATAATTGAAAAAAAATAAGTTTGAGCCAGGTAAGATTTATAGAAGATGCCTTATATTGTAGTCTAAAGGGAGTAATATAGAACAAATTAAATAGAATAAAAATGAACTGAAAAATAATTTTATTGATGCAAAGCATTTACTATTTTATTTAATACAAAAATATTAGAAGACAATTTAAAATAAATAATAATATATTAAATTAAAGATTTATAATTTACTTTTTTTGTGCAGAAAATTAAAACAAACTAAATTATTTTTGATGACATGGGTCATATGGAAACGATAATTGGAAATCACATAACACCAGCTTTGGCTAGTTTAGGTGAGAGAGAAACTACAATAAAGACAGAAAAGTCCTCCCAATCAAATATTTAACATTGTGGCCTATGCTTGGAATTCAAACCTAAGACTTTTGGTTGATTAAATCAGAATAGCCTTTTATCAATTGAGAAATGCATTTGGTTATGCATATGCTCCCTCCTATTTAAATTATAAGACATTTTTTTTTAAACTTATCTTAGTTCAAATTATAAGATATTTAGTATGTTTTGAAATTTTTTTCTTATTTTATCCTTGTACTTATTAACTTAATTTGTTGTGTAACTTTATTATTATTTATTATATTTTTTTCACTCTTCATAATAGCTAAAACTTTATTGGTTTGCAAGGAGATTCAAGCTTTCTCATGTTATGATATTTCATTAAAAAAATATTATATCTCTCAATTAATTTATCATTAACAATTGGGGGAAAGGGTAAAAAGAAAAACTTATAGTATGTATAACTAAAAATAAGGATATAATTGAATTTTATTGGTATTCAAATTATAGTTAAAAATATCTTATATTTTACTTCAAAAATCAAATTCCATTTGAAATGGATGGTGTGAGTTTGTCAAATGCTTGACAAGCCGCTACATTAGCGGCGCATAGACCATGTTCGTCAACCTAGTTTTGTTCAATAGTCGTAACGTAATTGGTTAGTGGGAAAAAACTGGGTCGGGATTCACTCAGATGGAGAATCGAGAATATTACTTTGGTCCCTATAGTTTAATTGTATTTTAATTTGTTTTTAGTGTTTGTAGTTTATTTTTGTTGTTCTTTGTCCCCTCTATTGTTTGATTTGTCTTCAACGGTGGTCTTTCTAATTTGAAAAATACTCTTAAGGATCATGGGCTGATCCAACCAATGTTTGTTTTGTTCACAGCACACAGCTCAACTGGCTCAAACTGCACGTTTCAAAATCATCAAATAATTTACCAAAAAAAAAAAACATCATATAATTAAACAATGTTAAGTTCATGTTAGCAAAATAAACGCCGTTAAGGTCAGCTCATGGTCTTTAGGTGTATTTTTCAAACTAGAAAAACTAACGTACACGGTTGTAGACGAATAGAAATTATAGAGAACCAAAAAAAAAAAAAAACTAAGGCAAATAACAATTAGTTAGGAACCCGTGAGAACAGCTACGTACTTTGAATTATTGAAACTTCAATAACAGACTATAATCTTTACTTAATATAAATTATTTTTTGTTAATTAACTTAACATTCATAACGGATTTTAGTAAATTCTTAGCTAACATTAACAAATTTCCAACTTTATTTTCTTAATTTTTCAAGTGATTGGCTTATGATTCACAATCAATTTGTAAATTCTCAACTGATATTATTAATAATCCCAAGTATATTTAATAAATTTTTTAACTAACTATTTGCATTATTTAATTGCAAGTAAGAACTATAGTCCATTATTAACATTTCGATAATTCAAGGTCTATAATTGTTATTAATGTTATTGTGGGGTTCCTAATTGTTATTTTCCCAAAAAAAAAAAGAACCAAAATCAAAATTCAATAAAGTACAGGGACTTGAAGTAACATTTTCTTAATTTTGTTTTCTTTTGTGCAAACAAATTAAAAAAGGGCTAATGTGAATTGAAATGAAGAGTGATCTATGATTTTTATGATTAGTTTTTGGTGACAAACAATTTAATCTATTTTCAAACAGTTAGAGTTTGGCGTGGCTCGATCTGATGAAAGTTGGTGGTTGTGAATATTAATTGATATGCACCGACTGGCTCAAGGAAAGCGAGTTACTCATAAGTGTGTATATATACAGACATCTTCTCTTCCTCTTCTTCTACATCTCTCAAAACCAAGTCCAGTATAGTCGTGCACACAAACTATGGCTTCACGACCCGGAATCCTTACTGATTGGCCATGGAAGCCTCTTGGAAACTTCAAGGTTTCAAACTCTTAACTGTCTCTCTCTCTCTCTCTTTCTCTCACATCCAAGGTGGTATGTAAATACATTGCCATTCATTTATTAAGCAAACATGCGAGCCCAAGAGCGATGGCATTAAAGACGTTGTGGTTAAGAAATTTCCCATTATCAGTCTCTGACTTTCACAACACACGTACAAGTGCCATGGCGTTGATGATTTGTGCTTTAAATTTTTTCTTTCCTAATTAATTTTTTGTTTGATGAACTTGCATTATATACGTGGTGCTTCAGCAAAATGTGTTATATCATCAGTGACTTGAATTTTGCAGCATGTAAGAACCCATCCTTTGAAGTTACTTCTTTTAAATTTCATAGCCCGCTTTCTCTAAATCCAGGGTATTATCACATCCCACCCAAACTAATTTAGATTGTTTTTATCAATGGTGGTCTCATGGTATCTTGTAATGAGTCTAACGTTGAGGAGCTTTATAAGTTGAATAAGGTTTATAATGTAAGAGGTTCTCTAACTCAATTGGCTTGTCTTTTTAATATGAGTTCTCCCTTTAATATTATACTCACAATATTAGTGTTTTTATTGAAAGTTCGGTGTTAAAAAAAAAGTCTTTCTATGGAGGGGTTCTAAGTGGAAGAAGGTCAAGTGAAATGTTGTAGACTCACTGAGGATATCAAGCTAGTTTTTCAAAATGAGTTCTTCTTTTAGACTTTTGCACATCAGCTACCTCTAACGCGAGCATCCTCAACCCATAACCTCAACATGAATTGATTTATCTACCTCCTCTTTTTTTTTTAATAAAAAAAATACAAGTAGGCAAGCTCAGTGCTTGGAGATTAAAGTACACGCTTAGAGAAAAAACGACAAATTAAACAAACTCATATTCGTTCTACGTCAGGGCCCTGCAAGTTTCAGGAATTGTATGCACCAGCCTCAAATGCTCGCCTATTTCATGAGCATTCCTTCAAGAAAGTCCGTCATCCTGTTTAACTACCTCCTCTTTGAAATCAATTTAAGACTCAGAATTTCTCAAGTTCACTACTTTTGCATTTAACTTTACCAATCAACATCAAATTAAGGATCTGATCATTGCAGTAACCTCTACCACCTCTCTCTCACACACAGACAAATACGCAGTATAGGGGCATGGCATTGGAGATATTTTGTGTTTAAAAGATACGTGTCCATATGTTACTGGTTGAGCATGAACCTGATGTATTTCGTTTCATCTCTCGTGACTTTGAATTTGTTGCAGTATGGGATTCTGGCTCCATGGGCCATTCACAGCACATACAATTTCTTTGTGAAGGATAAAAGTGAAAGGGACGTATCCACGTTCCTGATTCTTCCTCTGCTGCTGTGGCGTATGCTTCACAATCAGATTTGGATCACTCTCTCTCGTTATCGAACGGCAAAAGGAAACTCAAGGATTGTTGATAAGGCCATTGAGTTTGATCAAGTTGATCGTGAGAGAGACTGGTTAGTCCATCTCTCTCTCTCTCTCTCTCTCTCTCTCTCTCTCTATATATATATATATATATGCCCTTATATCAAAACATCATTATTTTTCGTTTTTCATGGCAACATTTACATGTGAAAATATTAAATAATTGAACTTTGCCTATTTGCCTATAGACAAGCTTTTCACATCCAGTTCTAAATATAAAACACTGTTAAGAACTTTTTTGTTTTTAGTTCTTAAAATATAAAAGACCTCGTCCACTTCTGTTTACTATGTTAAATATATCTTTCCAAAATACACATAGTAGTTAATGTAGAGTTTAAATTTTAGAAAAATATAGCTAATAATTTTTTTCCAAAATATATTAATTAATCCAATTAGTTGCTAAGGGTGTTTTTGAAAAATTTTCACAAAATTTTGACATGTTAATTATAAATAACTACTCCCTCCATTCTTAGATATTAGTGTTTTTCATAAGCTTATTTTGTTTCAAAATATAAGGAGTGTTTTGTTATTTTTAAATGATTAGATAATTTTACCCTTGTAAAAAATGGAGGAGACGTTAATTGTATGATTTATTCACCACAACAATGATATTAATTGTGACATTATTAGGGATAAAACAAGAAAAATATTATGATTTTATGTAATTTTAACTAAATAATAAAATTTTATTAATATATATAATTTGGTTGAAAACTACTTATACTCCATCCAAACCACAATATAAGTTACAGTTAATTAATTTATAGTTTGTGAACAATGTTAGTTGAACTTTTAAAATTTTAAAAATATTCACATTTTTTTATTTATACCTTCATTAAATGTTCTACATGATAGCTTTGATAATAATAATTAAAATTTTAATACATGATTTTTTTTAAAATTAATAATAAATGAAGTAAAAATATAGTTAAAAAAATAAATATAATATTTATCTAATATCTTATATTTTAAATCAAATAAAATTTTTAAAAGATATTTTAATATTGTGTTCTGGAGCGTATATAGAAACGAAGAGTACGTTAACTTGATTGGGAGAAAGAGAGGGGATTAAAAGATCCAAAAGATAAACACAAGATTATTAATCTTGTTTTTCTAATAAATAAATACATTATGTATAATAATAAATCAACTTCTCCACAAGAAGCATTAGAAGTGCACTGTTCTAATTCTGTCTAAGGTTTTTCTTTTTAACCTAAAAATACATGTGGGAGACAAGATAAAGCTGTTGAACTGAGTCAACATTTACACTCAGCCTTCTGCTCTGCGTCCGTAGTCAGTATAATTATGAGCGAATCCTTGATAAGAAGGGCTGCTCACTCACATCAAAGCTTTAGATTTTCTCTGCTAAACGACATCACACCTTTAGATAGTTTTTCAGGCTCTCATAAATAGTCGGCTCACCCTCTCAATTAGCAATCCCGTACTTTTACTCAGTAGTTTCACCAACCTCATTTACCCAAACATGTTCGATGACTCTCACTTGGATCACTAATCTTTTAATTACTGTTCCCTTAATCCTGATTTTTGGTACCTTGATAAAAAGTTGTTTTATCAGTTTCAATTACTCCCTCTGTTTTTATTTTTAGATGAAATTATCACTTTTATTTTTTTTATATAAGCAAAATAATATTTTTAATATGCATTTATTATAAAATTCTTAAATTATCCCTCATAATTTCATCATTTACAGTCAAAAAAATAATTAATAAAGACTTGATTAATATAATTAATAAAGGCATTGTAGTCTAAAATTCTTTTATTTTTAGATACAATTAATATGTTCAATCAATTTTTTTAAACTATGTGATTTAGGTTTTTCTCTTCTAAATAAAAATAGAGGGAGTATAAGATATTTTTTGAAGAGATTCGACTTCTCAAAATACTTTTCCTCATTTCAAATCATAAGATATTTTTAAACAAAATCACACATATTAATAAAATTCATAAACTTTTTAAAAAATTTCTTTCATTTAATACTTCATGTATGAAAAAATATCATAGAAAGAATATAATAAAAAGAGTGACATTGAAAAGGCATCATTAATTAAACTTTGTTTTTATTAAAGTGTTTTATATTCTGAACTATCAAATTTCTCCCAAAAATGTTTTATAGTTTGGAATGAAAGTAATTCAAAATACTTTAACAAAAATAAGGTTTTATTAATGATGTTTTTATAATATCACTATTCACATTATATTCTCTCTTTTTATTATTCTTTCATAAATAGAATATTGAATGATATTTTTAAAAATTTATATTTTTTTTAAAAAAAGTAAAGTGTTTTTTGGCCAAAAATGTAAAAAAAAAATAAAGTTATGAAGTATATTTATACAGGATAGTAATACGCGATAGTCATACACTACAAAACTAAATCCATCAATTATGCACAGAGCCATGAGCTTCTCCCTGCTTTTCTTTTTTTGGGTTTTATTTTCACATGTTTTTGGTTTTTGGAACCTTGTGCATTAGAACAGGTGAAATATAGTCAATTAATTCAACTGAACATGCGTGCACGATGACCCATCTAAACTATCAAAAAAAAAAGTTGAGGAGCATAAGATTAATTATATGTATGGGTTAAATTAAGTTTAGAGGAATGTAACTAATTAATTAATTTAATTAATTAACATGCAGGGATGACCAAATATTGTTTACTGGAATATTACTTTACTTGGCGAGCCATACAATGAAAGGAGCGTCTCACCTGCCTTGGTGGAGATCAGATGGGGTATTCATCATGGCATTGTTGCATGTGGGTCCCGTGGAGTTTCTGTACTATTGGCTTCACAGAGCTCTTCACCACCATTTTCTATATTCTCGTTATCATTCTCACCACCATTCGTCAATTGTCACCGAGCCCATTACTTGTGAGTCCCTTTTATCTCTTCTCTTTAATTTCATCTTGCATCTTACATAGTGCGATGCCCGGTAATTCAAGCCAAACTTTGACAAGTCAATTAAAAAATACTAAAATTGAGTTTGAGAATGTAAAAAATTTTATTTACTTTCAACTTATTTAAACTACTTGAATAAACTCAAAAAAATCTAGATCAAGTTTTAAATATGACTTTAGAAACATTAATAAATAATACAAATACATCTAGTATATAATAATAAATAATAACATAATCATTCATTTTTTGTTTTGGCCAAACGCAATCATTCATTCATACCACATGAAAACTTCTTCTAGTCTTATTTATAAGGCAGAAAGAAAATTTTTTTGATCCTATTTAAAAGTTACGTCATTAAATTTTTAGTATAAATTTTCTCTTTTACCCTCTATTGAATATTAAGGAGAAAAAATATATTATTAAAGTATATATATTTAAAATTAAAAAGGTAATTCAAACAATTAATGTCACTAGATGACTAAACACTTGGTTATAATAGGCTAATACAATGTTGGAAAAAAAAAGAAGAAGCTAATACAAGCCAAATGTTTCAAATCATAATACTATTAGCAAATATTATATAGGCTAATTTGAAAACATAAAGTATTAACTTACATTTTAGATAAAATTATAGTTACATATTAAATAAGAAAATTGATTATTTTTTATGCTATTTATAAGTCAAACTTCAATAATTACATATCAAATTTAAAGATGTTTACAAGTAGATGAAATTTATATGTAATTAATTTTTTATTTAGGAATTATATGCATAGCATATATGTAAATTAAGAGTTAATTAACCCCGTCTGATTGAATTGATAAATTATTAAATCAATATCATAATTATTTTAATAAACTATTTTATTCATGACCAATTTAATTATAATTTAATTACAATTTTAACTGTTAACTTTTGAATTAATATTTTAGTATGCTTAATGATAGGTCCGATTTTTGTAGTATCTCACTTTACATGTAATTCTTTCTATATTTTATTTATATAATTTAAATCAAATTATATGTACGAAATTGAGCCTCGTGGATCCATGTGACGATTTTTAATGCATATCAAAAAAATGTACACTGCTACCTTTTGACTTGTGCTGCATGGTTTGGCAGAGAGACAGACGGCTTCATGCATTTGTCTGTTCCTTATAAATTTCGAGATATGAACCATTTGAATGGGTGTGAAAATTTGAGTTTTAAATTTAATATAAATATTCTACCGAAACATACATCAAGCAGCTTAGTGCTTTTTTTTTTTTTTTGAATAAAAGTCAAATTAATTCATTACTAACATACACATATTATTTATGTGTATGTTTAACAAGCTGCCTTAGTAGCGGATAAGTGCAAGTGATAAAAAAAGGTTTCATGATATATATCATTAATATCATGGACCATTTAGTACAACAGAAAATATGAAATAGGAAAACTCCAACTTGCTTTTGTGAATATTAATTGGGGAAAACCATATTTCTAATAGAATCCACCAGAGTCAGAACTCATAAGTAATAATAGTACTTTTTTTTTTACCTGAATAAGTAATAATAGAACTTGAAATTTTGCAAAAAAACAAAATAGTACTTGAAAAATATGAAGTAGAAAATCCTACAACTTACTTTTATAAGAATATTAATGAGGCCAACCATATTTGTTATTCCTCCCACCTTTCTCCTTCTCTTTTATTATTCCACTTTTCCCACTCAACAAAAAGAAACATTACTTTGCTCCACTTTTGTCCCCTCTGAAATTTTTTTATAATTTTAAATATGTTTACAACTTTAAATTTTTAATAAAACAATAATTATGATTTTTCCTCTTTTGCATTTCAATACTCCTATCTCGCTCTTCGTTTATTGTATCACTCTGTCTCTTTGACACTTCCGCAACTCCTTTTATCACTTACCTGATACCTCACAATTAACTGTGAGAGAATAATATTTTGGAGTATCTTAGTAGAACATTATTATTCACTCCCACCTTATTTATAAATTATTTTTACCAACTTTATCAATATTAATACAATAAAAATATAAAGAATAAAATTTAGTAAAATTATTAATACAACTCTAAAAAAAATTATATAATATTATTTTTTTATTTTTCTCTCTCTCACTTTTTAAGGGTAGTTCAAACATTTAATTAGAAATAAATTATTACTATTAATTCAATAATTTATAAAGTAAATTACTTTACCCTTCTAAAAGGTGACCAATAAAGTGGATCAGAAAGAGTATATTAGATGCTACTACCTCCATTTCTATATATAAAAAAAATTATCACTTATTCTTTTATTTTTATTTATAAACAAAATCACATATCTTAATAAGCATTTAGTATAATTTTTTAAAATTATCCTTCATAAACTCATAATTTTTATTCATGAAAAATATTTAATGTAGCCTTATTTTATTTAAATACAAGGATATTTTTGTCCAATTTTTTTATTTCCAGAGACACAATTATTATCATTAACCATTAACCAGTTTTTTTAAACCATGTAATACTATTATTTCCTTTTATATGTAGAAATGGAAGAATATTATAACCTTTTCTGTTTATATCATCTTCTTATTCTGTATTAACAAAAACCCACCAAAAAGTTAAACATCATGAAATGGAGTATTGATTTGGATTTTTTTCAGCTAACTAATACCAATTTTTTTTTAAGTAAAGCTACTTTAGCCTAAAGTGCACTTGCAGGGCATCTTGATTTCCAAAGAAAAACAAAATATAAATTAAACTTAAACTTGTTTATGTGATTACTAACGAAAAAAGTTGAACTCTTTTATGATTGATGAATAATACTTCTAATTTTTTTTTGTTTTGTACATTATATTGATTGATGATTGATTGTTGGTTTATTGTGTTAATCACGATTATATATAGCTGTGATCCACCCATTCGCGGAACACATATCATATTTCATGTTGTTCGCCATACCAATGCTAACGACGGTGGTCACCGGAACGGCGTCGGTGGCGGCGATGACCGGTTACCTGACTTTCATTGACTTCATGAACAATATGGGTCACTGCAACTTCGAGCTCATTCCTTCCTTCCTCTTTCGCCTCTTTCCTCCTCTCAAATATCTCATGTACACTCCAACGTAAGTCTTCTCAATCCAACTTTTTTGTTTTTGTTTTTGTTATATTAACTACACACACTTCATAGAATAATAGTTCATATATTAGAAGTTTATTGTGACTGAATATTGTCACATTGTCTTTGTGAATAATGCGACTTCCGATATATAAATTCAATTCATCAATTATTAATTAGGTTTTGAGCTCCATTATATTTGTCATACACACTAAGTTTAGGTAAGGTCAGAAAGCTGCAATTTTTTTTTTTTTTGTGAGTAAGATTAGTTTGTGTGTGTGTAGAGCCAGTAATTCAGGCCGAGCCCGACGGACTAGCCCGAATTAATCCAAAAAATTTTAGGACCGGGCTTTAAAAAGGAAATGTTTTTTTATGTTCAGGCCTATTCGGGCCTATGTTCAGGCCTATTCAGGCCTGCCCGAATAGGCCTGAAAAAATTTGGGGCAAGCCCGATCAGGTTCGGGCTTGGCCTGAATACCCAAATAAATTTTTTTATTTTAAAAAATATATAATATATAATAAATATTAATTAATTCTTTAATTTTTAGGTTATTTTATACTAAAATATCATATATTTAAATTCTAGACATCATTTAAGTATTAAAATATATATTTTATATTTTTTTATAAAATAAAATAATTAATTTTAAAGTAAAAAATTTAATTAAAAACAATTTTAAAAATAAAATTCAGGTATTAGGGCCGCCCGAAGCTCGAAGGAATTCGAGCCGAGCTTGGCCATTCGGGCTTTTTTTTTTTAAAAAAAAAGGGCCTGTTCGGGTTCAGGCCTGTTCGGGCGGCCCATCCGAATTCCCAACTCTATATGTGTGTAAGATGATAATGAATTTTAATATTTTAATATGTGAAAACAAAAAATAAATTCAAGATGAATAAAAATAGATTAGTTCGGATCATGAGATTTATCTATGTTTCCTCGAGTCAAATTTTTATACAATTTTAGACATAAATATAAATAATATACATAAAACATAAAATCAATTTAAATGACAATTGATTATATTTGATTGGATGGGACTTGATTTTATATATATGTGTATATATATATATATTATATTTTGATTGTCAACATCATTTCTTGTCCTCTGTCTGGGAGAGAGTTTTCAGTCATCTTTGGTGTTTTACTGTTTTCAATTTCATCCTGAAAACATTAAATGAGGGGTAAAAAGGTAAGAAATTGCCTACTTGAATGGGGCCCAAAGTCAAATCAGAACAGAAAGACCAATGTCATATCAGTTGAACGGGACACAACAATGAGATTTTTTTTTTGGATAAAAAAAATAATTGTTATTAAGATTATTCTTCAATCTCTATGAGACTATAATATAATTGGAAAAAAAATTAGTTGTAAAAATTATAAAAAAATCCTGCATTTTAGTCTAATATTGAGTGATAAAAAATATATTATGTTTTAAACAATAGGAGAATTCGTTTAATTCGTTTAATAAATAATTTGTCAATGATTAATGAATAAGTAGCTGATGTTTTTTTTTCCTTCATTTCTTTTTTCTTTTAAGTTTTCTGACTTAAGGAAACTACTGTTTATTCTTTGACTGGAGTAGTTGTGCATTTCAAAGTAAAATTTATATGCTTAATGTTATAAAAAAAATAATTGTTATTAAGATTATTCTTCAATCTCTATGAGACTATAATATAATTGAAAAAAATATTTGTAAAAATTATAAAAAAAATCCTGCATTTTAGTCTAATATTAAGTGATTAAAAATATATTATGTTTTAAACAATAGGAGAATTCGTTTAATTCGTTTAATAAATAATTTGTCAATGATTAATGAATAAGTAGCTGCTGTTTTTTTTTCCTTCATTTCTTTTTTCTTTTAAGTTTTCTGACGTAAGAAACTACTGTTTATTCTTTGACTGGAGTAGTTGTGTGTTTCAAAGTAAAATTTATATGCTTTACGTTATATGCTTAAAATATTTATTTTTCATTAAATAAAAATATATGTATTATTTATATATTATTTATTTTATAATAAATTCTTATTATTAATATTAATATATTAAAACTTACTTTTTATAATTTGATTGAATAAAAATATATAAAATATATAAGATTAAGTATATAGTCAAGTCTTGCTCTTTATTCTATTTCTTTATTTTGAAGCTGTTTAATTTACTATAAGAAGTGATGGTAATTAAACAGTTGAAATCAATGTCAATCATACATAAATAATTAACTACCCTGTTGTAATATTTAATCAAACACAAATTTGCATTAACAGTCATTTAACTTGTGTTTTTAATTAACAGGTTTCACTCTTTGCACCACACACAGTTCAGGACAAACTACTCTCTATTCATGCCTTTGTATGATCATATATATGGCACTGTGGACAAATCTACAGATGAGTTACAGGAATGTGCACTTAAGAGGCAAGAAGAATCCCCAGATGTTGTGCACCTAACACATCTCACAACGCCTGAATCTGTGTATCATCTTCGACTGGGATTTGCCTACTTGGCCTCACAACCTCACACATCAAAGTGGTATCTCAAGTTAATGTGGCCTGTAACGTTGTTGTCCATGATCTTCACTTGGGTCTATGGTCGTACCTTCACATCGGAGAGAAATCGTTTCGATAAACTCAAGCTTCAAACTTGGGTCCTTCCCAAGTACACCTTCCAAGTAAGTTTCAAAATGTGAGAGAGAGAGAGAGAGAGAGAGAGAGAGAGAGAGAGAGAGAGAGGAGTGTGTGTGTTTTATGTTTGTTTATTTTTTTTTTTTTAAAAGAGTGTTGTGAAGTTTATGCTTGGTGCTTTGAACAATTAATGCATATTTGACCCAAAAAAAATTCATATTTTTCACTTGTTCAAAAACTAAAGTAATATGTTTTGAAATTTAATGGAATACATAGTTATAAAATTATACATATTAATAAAGTTCACTAAATATAGTTTATAATAATATTTTTTTATAAACTTTTAAAAATACTCTTAATCAGAAAAGAAATTTATTTAAGGAGTGAAATAATGAGGGATGATATTAGAATAATCATCATTGATTAATGAAAGCTTAATTTTGACAAAAATTTCTTATATTTCTGGACACCAAATTAATAATCAACTTCAAAAATGATTTAGGAAATGGAATGGAGGGAGGGAGTATATGATTATTTTCTTTCTTCTTTTGAACCAATTAGCTGCAAAAACAAAACTCAATATGATATTCAGTATCACTATAACTTATATATTCAGATTGAAGTTGTGTTGATGAGTACTCCTAAACGGGAGGAAGTTCTGTCTTTCTAGTCTCAAATTCCCTTTTAGGGTTATAGTATATTTGTTTCACTCAATCTTATAACTCTTGGTTGATTATTTGCATTTATCAAACACACATTGAAGATTTTTTTAAAAAAGAATTTGAACTTGCAGTACTTGATGCAATGGCAAAAAGAGGCAATCAACAAAGTGATAGAGGAGGCAATAGTGGAAGCAGAAAGGAAAGGAACAAAAGTGATAAATTTGGGTCTGATGAATCAAGAAGAAGAGCTAAACACATATGGAGGGCTTTACATAAATAAGAATCCAAAGCTAAATGTTAAGTTGGTTGATGGAAGCAGTCTGGCTGTTGCTGTGCTTCTTCACAGTCTTCCAAATGGAACATCTCAAGTCTTGCTTAGAGGCAAACTCACCAAGGTTGCTTCTGCCCTTGCCTTTAATTTATGCCAAAAGGGTATTCAGGTAAGTTCCACACTATTACTAACATAATCATCATCAAACAAACAAACTATTCCATATTTAGTATTACTTAATGATATGAATTTGAGATAGGTTTTGTCCTAATTTGAAGGGAAAAACTCTCCCTGTATATATGGTTTTTCTATTTATGAGATTTGAAATTAATACCTTATGTATAATTGAGTTTTTTATTATTAGAAAGTTCATTCTTAAAATTAAAATACTTATGATTGTCTTTTTTGTTTTAATTTTAGTATGTATTTTACAGATCAAGATCATCACTACTGTAAAAATGTATTGTTACGTCCGTTCTTCAAAATGCCGATGTAGAAAAAAGGCAGTGACCTTGCTTGTTGTAAATATTTGTAACATTGATATCAAATCTTAGTAGATGTATTAAAATATTTTTATTATTTAGATTTAATTTGGATTGCTTATGTTTTGATTTTCTTTTAGCATTTAAGGAAATAGAATTTACAATAAAAGCAATCTTATGACAGATAACTTTACAAAGTTGATAATTTAGATTAAAATAGAAAATAAAAAAAAAACTATAACAACCTAGATCAAATATGAATAATGCAAGTCTCTTAGTTGAGCAATTGAATTGAAAACCTTACAAGTTAGATGATACTATAGTTCCTTTCAACTGAGCAACCCTATTAATCAAAATTAATTAGCCCTATTTATCTCTTTATCTTTTCTTTTCTTTTCTTCTTGCGCTTGATATCTTTTAATTTCACACATGTATTTCAGGTAGCCACAGTGCATGAGGAGGAGCACATGAAGCTGAAAAGCTCATTTAACAATAAATGTGGAAGTAATTTGATTATCTCTAAAAGTTATTCTCAAAAGGTAATTAATACGACCAACCCTCAGTTAATTTTCTGGCAGAATATAATCTCTTAGAGAGACAAATAGAAATAATTAATCGTATATCTATGATTTTACTGTGTATTCGTAAGTTTTCAGTAATATACTTTAATTAAAACAATGTCATGGTTTTGAAGTATGGGTTTGAAATAGTGACAAGATGATAGGTTGAAATAATAGTAAAAATATTATCAAAATTGGATTGAAAATTTAAGAACAAACATCATATTAGAATTAAGAAGAGGTGGTTAAATAATTAATTTTATTTGAAAAAAAGAATAAAGTTGCAATTTTATTCACATTTTGCATGAAAAATTTTCAAATTATATCATATTCTTTCTCATAATTAATGAATTTATATATAGGTAATATTGAAAAAATACAATTAACACCCACCAAGTGCCTTAATATAAGGACAACAGAATCATTCTAGAATGTGTCCTGAAATAGAGACTGGAGGGAGCATACTAAATCTAAATTTCAATAGGAATGGTATATGCTATTATCCCCAGTACATTTATCCTAGAATAATCATTTTAATTAATTATCACATTCTAGTTGCCTTGATTAATTAATTCCAGAAGAATTGAGAATGTTAAATATAATTTATTACTTTATTGTTTTTCATGGATAGATATGGTTGGTGGGAGATGGATTGAGTGAAGAGGAACAGCGAAAGGCACCAAAAGGAACAACATTCATTCCATACACACAATTCCCACCAATCAAACATCGCAAGGATTGCTCATACCGTTGTACTCCAGCTATGCTAACTCCCTTGGCTCTTGAAAATGTCGATTCTTGCGAGGTTTGTGCACTCCATCTCCTCCTCTTTATTTCCAAAACTAGCTAGGGTAGGTTTCATGCATTATATGGAGTCTAAAAAACAATGTTTTGAGACCTGGACAGTTAGATCGCTTGAATCGTCACTTGGTAAAGAATGTGGTTTGGTTCACAACCATTATAACTCATTCTAGTAGTTAGTCCACTATGATCCAGGAGGTTTTGAATAAACTTGGCAAAAACCTAAAACCTAGAACGGTTGGATCATTTGGATCCACTTTTTCTTTTATTCTTAATTTAGTAAATTTAAAGATATTAATGTCAACTTACTTCTAGGTTATTATGGTAAAATTTTGAGTGCATAATTTGTTTAATGTCATTATATCAATGAAAGTATAGAGAAAATTAAAAACTTATTTTCTTTAAAAGAAAAAATATAATAAAAATAAAAAGATATACTAAATATGAAACCGAAATAAGCAAATTAGAATTTAATATGTTATGACCTAATAATTCTAGTTTAGGAATGATATTGTCAATATTGGTAAAGTTTTATTTATATACACACATATAAATATTATTTTCTGATTTAATTATTATGTTACTAATTCAACTAACGATCTAACTAATTGAACCATAATAATCGTGACTTGCTCATGATATCCTTTTTGATTTATTATCCAGTCTGAGTTTTAAAACATTGCTAAAAAATGAGTCGCCTAGTAATACTACTAATTATTAGTATATGTACTAAAGTTTTAAAAATTATTTGCAGAATTGGTTACCAAGAAGGGTAATGAGCGCATGGCGAATAGCTGGAATAGTGCACTCTTTAGAAGGATGGAGTGAACATGAGTGTGGATATGCAATGCTGAATACTGATAAAGTTTGGAAGGCAACTCTTCAACATGGCTTTCAACCTCTCACTCATGAACAAATTTAATTGCTTTCTAGAAGCTGAGTGATCTTATAGGAGGGAGAAAGACGCAAGGGCTATATATATATATATATATATATAATGGAACATGAGGGTAAAATAATTAGCACGTGCTCTCTGTGTCATGGTAGTAAGGGGAGACAAAGAAGGAAGAGTAGGATCCATACCCTGATAGGTGAGGTGGATTCTATTCCTCTGCACTTTTCTCTTTATTTTGGATGGCAAAATGCTTTATGTTTTTACCTTTAAGTACTTGAAGACTTCATCATTACTGTTGCTCTCATTTATCTAGTCAAATGTTTTACGACATGGATTTATGTGTGGTTAATTCTCAAATTCAAATTCTTGTTCTTAAGCCTAGAAAGATACTTTTTTTTTTAATATGAAATTACCTTCTAAAACTTTGACTTCCAAGTAGAAATTGGTAAGGCATTGAAACCTGATTTGATCATTGAAGTAGTCAGTGTAGTGGCTAAAGTCATGCTTATTTTTTTAACCGAAAACGATGTTTAAATTCAATAAAATAAGGAAAGCATACCAAATTTAACTCATTGACCCGTTTAAAACTCTTAACCAAATCAACTAGGAGATTAGTTTATCACTGGTTTACTAGTCTGACTAACCAACTTGAGTTGGATTTAAATAATATGGAGATGAGTGATTTTAATTGAACACATTAGAATGATGACATTCACAGGCAAAATCAATGCACATGAACTCTTAAGTATTATTCCTATTGTTTTATTTATAAGTTACTTTAAATATATTTCACAAAAATTAAGAAAAATTTTAAAACTCATTAATTCAATCTAAAAATGTAATAATTTCTCAACGTTACCCCTTTTAAATATATATATTTTAATAATATATTATCTTTCTCCATTATTTAGTGGAGGGTAAATGAAAAAATTTGCTATGAAAATTTAATAAATTAACTTATAAATAGAACTAAAAAAAATATTCTCTCTCTAACTTTAGACTAAAGGAAGTAATAAATATGGACTTGTGAAATATGCTAGTTTGTCAGGATATAGTTAATTAATGTTCAAATTTCATATGTTAATATTTAAAATAGGAAGAATGACAAATAAATCCCTCTCAAATAGGAAAACAAAAATTTGGCCTCACAAAATGTGATAATAACAGTGAGGTCCTAAGAGACTTCTTTGAACTTAAATTTATGTGAGAAATTATTTTAGTAGCCCTATGTGCTTTAAAAAGTTGTGATTTTCTAAATTATTTTAGTCATTGGTGGAATCAAATTTAAAAATACTTATACTAAATTTGTAAATGATATATACTTAGTTGGACTTTGTTGATAGCGAGTTGTGATTTTTTAAATTAGTTTAATTATTGGTGGAACCAAACTTATAAATACTTATAACAAACTTATGAATCACATAAAATTACTTGGAGTTTTCTAATTGAAAAAAATTGTTGATAGAAAGTTGTAACTTTCTAAATCATTTTAGTAATTGATGAAATCAAATTTGTGAATACTTATACCAAACTTGTGAACTATATAAAATTAGTTGCAGAGGGATATTAAAGTCATACAGAAAATTTAATCTTGAGACCTCACTATCATTGTCATATTTCATGAGACTAAATTGTTATTTCCCTATTTTGAAGGGATTTATTCGTCATTTTTCTTTCAAAATATATGCTTATATTTGATGTCATATTTTGAACATGATTGAGGTTGGATCAAATTATTTGAACATTCCAGACGCAAGCGCATACTCAAAAAAGTTATCATGCACTTAAATTTATATATATGTGTGTGTATGTATATGTAGTATATATTTATATATATAGTACATATGTTGAGAGGATAATATTTGTTATTTTCCTTGCACTATGTAATACTCCCTCCAAAATATAATATAAGTTAGTTTCTATAAGCTTTACTTTATTCAAAATATAAGACATTAGATAAGTGTTGCTCTCCCTAATCATATTTATAGGGCAGAGAGAGAAGAATTTCTTTAATTTTATTTACAAGTTACGTCATTAAATTTTCATCACAAATTTTTTCTTTTACCATCCATTAAATATTGGAAAGAGAAAATATATTATTGAAGTATGTATATTTATATTTAATAGAAATAAAATTTTTAAAATTATTAAATTTTAAAACAAAGTTAATGAGTTTTAAAATTTTTTTTGATATTGATAAAACATGTTAGAAGTGATTTATAAATAGTACCAGAAGAATATATATATTTTCTATTACACCCATGCTTTATGAGTAATTAATGATGGTGTTTTAAATAAGTCAAATATTTAATTTATTTCACTCAAATGTGTGATTGGAAAGATGAGAAAATCTTTTGAAAATTAAGATCTTAATCAATTTTTTAAAAAATATAAATTAGTTAATAATGAGTTATATTGTGATCTAAATCAAATCTGTCATGGTCAATAAACATTCACCACGTGTCCAAAAATGTGTTGGGTAAATTGCCCTGCAAAATGTTGTGAAAAATGACAGCTTGGGACTTCAGATAATGGACTTTACGAATACTTTCTTTAAATTGACATTAAATTGAGGGCATTGAATAGAGGTGGTTAAACTTTAACATAGCATGACATTAAATGGATGGTATAATTGGAAAAGAAAAAAAATAATTCCCACATTATAGAGCACATGCATTTTGCATTTTTCATGATTTGTGTTTTTTTTTTCTTATGATGAGGACACGTGCATAAGGACGGAGGAAGTATTATTAATATGTTAAAATTCCTCCTAATTTTTCACAGGAGTTTTTGCAAACATAGCCCATATCACAATATCAAGTAAAAAAAATCTATTCTTTCTTAAATTTTAAAAATAACATTTTTAATATTTAGTTTATAATTAATTTACAAAACTGCCCTTTTAATATTTCTTTTTGCAAATATTTGAAAATTCAAAACGTAATAAATCTTTGAAACTGGACACAATGAATGCAAGATATATAGTCTAAAATGACCTTTTTTAGAGATGAATGAGAGTTGGACATGAGAGAGATGAACGTGAGACAATAAAGCAGTGTGAGTGAGTCATAGTCACGATTGCAAGAGACAAACAAGAGGTGAGATACATTGACGGCACTTGACGAAACGGAACATGTCGATGGGAAAATGGAGTTACAAATTCATAATTTTTTATTTTATTAATTTTGGTATTTTGACTCTTTGTGATAAACTAAGAGTCCAAAATTTTTTATAGATTATGTTTGACACATTTTGAACAAATAATTATGTGTTTTTTGTGTTACTGATTCACGATACTATACTATATATCACTGATATACTATTGTATATCCTTGATATACTGTCACAGATCAACATAACTAAACAATCAGATATAAACTTGTTTATTATTGATATATATACGTATATCATTGATGTAGTATCACAGATTAGCAACACGAAAAATACATAATTATTTACCCAAAATGAATCAAGCACAGTCCACAAAAAATTCAATGTTACTAAGAGATGTGAAGATGGTAAAAATCTAATGACAGATAATAGATTTCAACTTAGTCTTTGGCTTCTAGAAATAAATATTCCTCTTCAATATTTAATGTCTTCTTCATAGTGTTCCTGAAAAAATAGAGAGGGAGAGAGAAGAAAAGCTCTGCGATAAAGAAAGGCACTGGCAATTTTATATTTAGAGAAAAAAAAAGAAATGATTCAGAGAGAAAAAAAAGGAAAGATTTAGATAGTTAAGGATTTATTACAATATATATATTATGTTTTAATAATAAATTTAATCTGACAATAAAAAAGTAAAATACATTTAATTAATTTTATGAATGTGTCATATTTTAAAATATTTAAAAATCTTATCTATAATTTATGAGAGCTGTATTTTTTAAGGCCGTTGAGCTAATTTTTTCTTTTTTATATTACATTATGCCCTTAGTAAATATAATATCAATATAAAAATAAAGCACAGTTAATTAATGTTGCTTTGAACTTATAAAATGGCTACTCCTTCTAATCCTATTTATAAAGTAGAGGGAGAGAAAAAATTTGGTCAAATTTGTAAAGCATGTTATTAACTTTTTATCACAAGTTGTATCTTTTATTTCTTATCAAATGTTAGGACGAACAATATATTATTAAAATATGTAAATTTAACAAAGAAAAATTAAAAACTTATTAAATTTTTAGAAAGATAAGTTTTATGATTTTCATTGATTCCAAAAAATATGATAAAAATAATTTATAAATAAAATTAAATGGTCTAATAAAGATAAACATTTTTTAAAAAAAAATGACAACTGAAGAGGAACAAATGAGATATTGTATTTGCCAGGACATAATTTGGAAGGTCTTAAAACATGTATGGGGAAACGTGCGTGTGTTTGCAATGAATGCTTAAGTCTCTTTTTAACCATATGATTAAAAATCATTGTTTTTAGGCACATCTAATATTTTGTTTAATAATTATTATTTAATAAAATACAAAATAGTTATCATTATTAAAATAAATTCTTAACTAATACAAATTTAGATACTCATTTTATTAAATTGTAATAAATTAATTTTAGACATTTGAATACTTAATTTATTTTAGAAAAATTAAATATATATAATACTTTATTTGTTTTTAACAAGAGAGGTGGTGTTTGTTGAAAAATAAAATGCCACCTCTCTCCCTCAAGTACTAAAAAAATTATTAACTCAATAATTATTTAAATAAATATTTTATATATAATAAATTATTACTTATAGGCATATCTAATATTTTGTTGTATAATTACTATTAAATAAAAAATACAATAATTATTATTAGTAATATATATTCTTAATTAATATAAATTTAATTACTTATTTTATTAAATTACAATAAATTAATTTTAGATATTTAAATACATAATTTTATATAAAAAATTAAATACATATAATATTTTATTTATTTTTAAGGAGAGAGGTGGCGTTCCACCTCTATCCTTCAAGTATTAAAATATTTATTTTACTATATTAGTTTTATTTATTTTTATTTTTTTACATATTTGGTTATACAATATTATATTTGATAAATAATGCTAAAGATAATTTATATTTAAATAATATTTATTTTTTAATTAAATTTTATTTTTCATGCCAAACCTTATTTAATAGTTAATTTATTTTTAATATTTTTATAATATACATATATCTACGATTATATAATAATGAAAATTATTTTTAATATTTTTTATATTTGAAGAGAGAGGTGGCATTTGTAAGTCTTTTAAATGCCACCTCTCTTTTTTATTAACTAATTATAAATAAATATTATATATAATTTTTTTATTTTTAAGGAGAGA